CACACACACACACACACACACACACACACACACACACACACACACACACACACACACACGATAGTTCGACCATCGATTTCGATGATGTCCACCGTGTGCCCCACAGACCGCATTGTGGGAGCAGGGACGGTGACTTGCGCAGGGATTTATAGTGCCAGTAGACTTGCAGCTGCATTGTTTATAATGAGGAGGAAAGTGTGCTGAGTCGTCGACCTCACTCTCCCATCCCATTCCCACACCGCAGACACTGTCCGAGCCAGTCAGCAGGCTGCAGCGGGGAATGAACGCGGTGGCTGGCGTGGTCGACTGACCATGCCTACGTGCGCCACAGGCACGACCTGGCCCCCATACACACACACACACACACACACACACACACACACACACCAGGATTTCACACAACGGAGGTTGAACGGCGGGTCTCTCACTTGCGTGAGAGGGCCCTGGAAGGTGCTGCTTCAGCCCGTCCTCAGCCCACCAGTCCGCCACTACACACGACACACACACAACGCGACGGACTGCGTCGACCGAGTGGGGCGTCAATCAGCAACCCTCCTATCCACGACACCTGAGTGTCAGGATGGTCTCGGACTCAAGTCACCCGTGCAGCCGGAGCCGCATGGGGACCGAGTCGAGATGCACACTTCCCACTTGCATGAGAGGTGGCAGGTGGTGCTTGCGGTGGGTGAGTGGTGAGGGAAGGTGGGGTGGTGGTGATTCAGGGAGGGAGGGTGTGATGATGTGATGCAGCCGGCGGTTGTCTACCGCAGGTCATCGTGGATGCGCATGTGGCCGAACAGGCCCATGCGATGTCTGAAAGTGCGGGGACAGTGTGGACGGTTGAGGCGAGCCTGGTGGCTATAGGTTGGTGCTCCAGGCACTGGTTCGCCAGTGTCTGTGCGATGGATTCGCAAGTGACCGACCAGGCCGATGCGTGAGGTGAATATGCGTGGACAGTGTGGACATGAGAAGTCGTCGGTGGCAGTGTCATCGACAGCGGAGTCGGTGGTGGTGGGAGTGGTAGCGATGATGGGTGCACCGGACGATGGAGCAAGTGTTGACCTGGTCGCCATGGATGTGTTGGATGCGGTGGGAGTGTCGGGATTGCGGCCAATTACGCACTTGTGGATGCGCATGTGTCCGAATAGGCTCATGCGATGATTGAAAGTGCGGGGACAATGTGGGCAGGTGAGGCGAGAGTTGTGAGTATAGGTTGGTGCTCCAGGCACAGATTCGCCAGTGTCTGTGCGATGGATTCGCAAGTGACCGACCAGGCCGATGCGAGAGGTGAAGGTGCGGTCGTAGTGAGGGCAGGTGTACTCCTGATCCTCATCGCTGGAGTCTGAGGCAGTGGGGGTGGTGTCGGTAGTTGTGTCAGGGTTGGTGAAGTGCGAGACGGCCGCCTGGACGGCCGTCGTGAGGGCAGTGGAGGAAGAAGAAGAAGCAGTGGAAGAAAAAGAAGAAGAAGAAGAAGAAGAAGAAGAAGAAGAAGAAGAAGAAGAATAAGAATAAGAAGGAAGTGGCGGTACAGAAGAACTGCCAGAGTTATTGGGCGGCGGCAGAGAGGACGAGGAAGAGGCGGGCGGGGGGACGATGGTTGGTGCAGTCCGAGAGGCGCAGTTGATCCGAAGATGTCCGACAAGTCCAATTCAAGCCCGGAATGTGCGTTGACACCGAGGACACGTAGGTACCGGTTGTGCGGCGGCGTTGCGTACTGGTCGAACTTGTGATTTACGCGCTTCGCGTTTTACTTTGGCGGCGGCAATGCGGTTGGCTTCGTAGATCGCAGCACCTGTCTTCACTGCCCACCTCCAGGTCGGTCGATCGTTCGCGATCTCTTCCCAGTTGGTCGGGTTGATTTGGAGACCCTTCAGGGATGACTTCAGGGTATCCTTATATCGGCGAATTTGGCCTCCTTGACGGCGAGAACCCGTCGCGACGTCTCCGTAGAAAAGTCGTTTGGGTAGTCGCTCATCGTCCATGCGCATCAGGTGGCCGCTCCAGCGCAGCTACAGTTGCCTCAGTATGGTGTCGATACTGAGGATGCCCATCCGTTCAAGCACATCAGTTTCGGGAATCCGGTCCTGCCAATTTAGCCGCAGGATGCGACGGAGACAGCTGAGGTGGAAGTGATTCAGACGGCGTGCCTGCTTTGCGTACACCGTCCAGGTCTCC